ATTATTAATATCCTAATTAAGATAAAGTATGTCGAATGAAAAAGGGATTACTAAAAAATATTATTTCTCATAAAAAAATAACTTTTTGAAAAATATATGGATTAATACAATTTTTTATGAGAAATAATATTTTTTAATAATCTATTTTTCATTTGACATACTATATCTTAATCAGGATATTATTAAGGAACTAGTAGATCATGTAGATTTTGGAATAATACACCCATTTTTTAAAATTAAACACTACCTAAAGATTTGNTTTTTAAAATTAAACACTACCTAAAGATTTGCATCGAAGCTTTTTTTTTTGATAGTGATTTTAATCACTGTCAGATATCATTATACTTGATCCAACTATCCCACTGTACCACGACCCCCCTGTGCTGGGTTTTTTTATATTTATTGCGATGGGCCGTTATGGCATGAAAATTCATTAGTCTAAGAAAATTCTTGGTTAATTCAATTTTTAATGTTTGATCACGTTGTAATCCAATATTGTTAAGAAATTTCTTAAAGTAGCATTTATTCCAATCACCTTAAGCGAACGCACCATTTGATGCCCCTGTGCGTACGCTTATGTCTATAACTGTTAAAATACTTTTTCTTCTAGTGTCGTGTTAATTTTTATAACTTAACATTTTTATTAAGTTTATAACATAGGGATGGCAGATACGATAATGATCATGCGTGTGAACTTCATTAGTCTTTTGTAAAATTAGGCTTATTATTTTTACTCAACAATTCGGCAATATTTTTAGACCATTTATACTTATTGGAAAACTAATAATTTAACTGTGTTACGTTAATTTTTTGTGTTAAAATTCTAAAATTTGCATAGTTAAGGATAAAGTACTAGTATACAAAGTATAGACGGTTCAAAGTATATGATAAAATATTATTTTATTTGAGCGAAAAACTGAACTTGCATCTATTCAAGCCCATAGGATTTCGTGAAGGTTGATAAATGGCAAGTCAGAAGAAACTTGAATAAAATTTTAATAAAACATGATATTCTGATTTCGATAAATGTTATCTTGGATTAAAAAAATCTGGATACCACCCCTACTGGGAAGTATTAAATATATCTATATATATATATATATATATATATATTTATATGAACAAACTTATTTAATTTCTTTTCTGAAAAGACTACTCAGTCTTTAGATAAAGAAAAGATTTGAATTTTTAGTTACACAACTAAAACTTCATTTTTTAGCATCGATGCGAAGCTGAGAAGGTATTAATTTTAATATGATGAGTTTTTTTTTTTTGTGTCTGAACGCTCAATCACAGCTCTCGCCATAGGCGTCATTTGGGGGTGGCAAGTGGGGGCAGTTCCCACCCCTGAATTNTAGGCGTCATTTGGGGGTGGCAAGGGGGGGCAGTTGCCACCCCTGAATTTCTGGACCCAGTATTTTGCCACCCCAGAATTTTGAAGTAAAACTTAATTATTTCCAATTATCTAATTAAAAAATATTCTATACATGAAAGATTCTTGTCAATAATAAAAATGATAATAATGCGTATGCGTATCAGTCCTGTGTTCGCGTATGTAGTAGGGCGATGGTTAGCTGGCACGGCTGCGGGGAAACACCTGAGTGATGACACCGCGACTGTGTCGTAATATTGTTATTGTATATAAATATATTATGTACATATGTACAAAAAATGTTTACAGAAATAGTACCCTTATCAACGTCGCGACAACATTAACAAGCTATACTAGTTTCCTAGAAAGATTATCGGTTATTTCCATCTTAAATGGTATAGCCACTATTTTTGCTATTGAGCAGAGTTAGTTGCTAGAGTAGCTTTATGCCAGTTTTTTATTTTTGTGATCAAAGACATGGTAAGTTTATAAAATTAATTTTACAGGTTTAATTAGTTATGTATAAGTACGGTATTTTAGTTATTTATCGTATTATTTACTATTGTCAGAGCCGGCTTGGTAAAATCGGGGCAACGTGCAAAATATTTTTGCGGGGCCTATTTAGTGGTTGAAATTTTTTTAAGACCTTTTTTTTTTTTTGCTCGTCCCTCATCTGAACCGCTTTCAAGCCGGTCCTGGCTATTCTATCAAGTATTTTACATTAATAAAATTTTGTTTTGAAAGATTCTATACAACGAGCTTATATCAACTGTAATCAATCTGTTCCACACCATATAGCTACTAATTTTTCATAATAGGTATACTTATAGTCAGGCCCCCCACACGAATTTTTGAAGTACGATACTGTAAATATAGTAAATATAGTATTAGAGTATAAGGGGATATGGGCCAAATTAAATGCAGATTCAAATAAAGCAGATCAAATTAAATAAAAATCTTTATCGATCCAAGCCTACACATTTTTTTTTATCCAGATGGTTTTTTGATTTGAAATAGCTTGTGGTCTTAGTACACTAAAATTAGTTCTCAACGGATCAAAAAAATTTTGCATGCCTTAAATCCATAAATAATTCATTAAATGTCAATTTGTATTTAAACCTATTAAAATTGATTATAACTGTTATCTTAGTGTTTTTTTGTTTCATAAACTTTTTTTATCACCTCAGAAAAATTAATGTTTAAAAAAGTTTTAAACGCATTTAATTCATTCTTTTTTCCAAAATACATTTAAGTTGTAACGCAAATAAGTACATTTAGAATTGAAGACCTTGATGCGATGTAGAGAAAACATTTTTAATTTTTATGAGTATATAAAAAAATGGTTGTTGAGGTGGCAGAATTAAGTATTCCGTGTATTGAATTGGATCCTAAATAGCTGTAGTATACAAAAAATTTACAAAAATTACAATAAAACCTTACTGTGTTTATCTTTAAGAAATAAAAACTCCTAATTGTCGTCCTCCTTGTGATCATAGGTCTCATATGAAATATGCGTTACACAAGCATATTCGTAATAGTGTGTTTTCTCTATTTTTTTTGTATGATATAACTTAATTATATTATTTAATTTCATAAATTCATTTCGGCCAACTGTATTAAAGAAAAAAGACCATTTTGCCAACAAAAATTATATTTTGGGAAGGGGCAAAATGCCACCTTGCCACTTCATTACTACACCTCCGCAAGCAATCAAACAAAACAATAAACCTATTCGCAAAAATTTATAAATTTGGAATTCAAAAAGAACCTTATTTTGCTATTTGTTTTTATAGTTTTCTCAGAAAAATAAAAAAGGACAAATTCGTTGCTGTCTTACTTTAGCTCAGACCCTGCGAGTAAGAAGAAACGGTTAGAAGATGAACCATTTGATGGAGTTGCTTTGGAACATCAACCAGAAGTAGAAGATGTATTAGGCTTATCAGTCGCTCTCTCAACCACAACTTCTAAGGGTAATTCTCCTTCAAATGAAATACAGAGGCTCAGGTCTTCCTCCAGTACAACTGACCAATTAATAATTGGTCCAATTAATAAACGAGATCCTACTCATGGACCAGGTATGGCCAAGACATATTTTAAGGAAGGTTCATTTCAACCACAGGATTTAAATTTCCCTCAAGTGGACGGTAGGAAATTTAGGCCAGAGTGGTATAAAATATTTTCTTGGCTGGAATACAGTATTTTAACAGATAAAGCGTTCTGTTTTGTCTGCCGTTTGTTTTACAACTCTGAAGAAAATAATGCAGAAGATGTATTTACCCTCACTGGATTTTCCAAATGGAAGAAAGCTGTAAACGCGTTTAAGAAACACGAGAATAGCAGCTCACATAGAATTAGTAACATTAAACTCAATTCTCTAAAAGAAGCAGACAAAAGTGGCACTGTTATAGAAAAAGTACATCAGCAGTATTCAGAAGAAGTAAAAGAAAACAGATTGTACCTAGAAGCTTTGTGTGAATCGCTGATATTTTGTGGTAGGCAATCTATTGCTTTGCGAGGTCATGACGAATCTACAGATTCGAAGAATAGAGGAAACTTTTTGGAGCTTATGAAGCTTCGTTCTATAGATAACTGTGTAATAAAAAAATTCTTCATGAATAATCAAAAAAAATTTCAGTATACCTCACCGACTTTCCAGAATGAGCTATTGTCAATTATTGGGGAACAAATTAAAATGCACATTGCCAAAGAAGTTAAAGAGGCAAAGATTTTTGCCATTATAGCAGATGAGACTCAAAACATAGCAAAACACGAACAAGTAGCTATTGTCTTAAGGTATGTTAATGACAAGTTAGAAATTCATGAGTCATTTGTAGGATTTTACCGTACTAAAAGAGCTGACGGCGTTTCACTGGCCAATGAACTGAAGAATGTTTTGATTTCGCTGGACTTGAACCTAAAATACCTACGTGCTCAGTGCTATGATGGCGCCTCAAACATGAGAGGCCCATATAAAGGAGTGGCAGCTATAATTATGCAAGAAGCTCCAATGGCAATGTACATTCACTGCAACGCGCATATATTGAACTTGTGCATTGTAAGCTGTTGCACTCGTATTACTTCAATATGAAACACGTTCTTTGTACTTCAAAGTCTTTATAACTTCATTGCGAAATCAACTAAACGACATGCTGTTTTTGAAGAAATTCAAAAAACTTTTCAAAGCCATGATGGTGGAACAGTAACATTAAAATCTTTAAGTGACACTCGATGGGCTTGTCGTGTCGAAGCCGTACGCTCTCTACTAGATAATTTTGATGCCACTCTTGCAACTTTACGGGAGATTTACGAAAAAGACAATGATAGTGGTGGACAAGCCAATGCGTTATTGAAAAATATTGAGGACTTTAACTTTGTATTTGATCTTTTATTGCTCAAAAGAGTTCTATCCCAATGTGATGTACTGTCAAAAACACTTCAGTCAAGTAGTGTGACTTATGAAATTGTGAAATCTGTAAAAAACAGCACTCTTGATGTATTAAAATCCTTCAGAACACATGAATTTTTCACAAAGTTGTTTGATCACTGCACAGACATCACTGACAAGTGCGGGTTTAAAACCGCCCAACTGCCAAGAAATAGCCGAATTCCACTAAAAATTGGTGGAGGAAGTAAAACCCCATTTGAATCTGTAGAGCAGTACTACAAAGTATCAATCCTTTGGCCAGTTATTGATATCCTAATCGAGGAGATAGAGGCTATACTTCAAGAAAACATCCTAGATGTACTTAACCACTTGTGGAGTTCTAGGTGGAACCGATGTAGACACAGCCTCTGTGCAATATGTGTCTAAATATTATAATTTAGACAACGAACTTCTTCTATCTGAACTTAGATGTTTCCTTAAAATGGAAGAATCAAGAAACATATCAATTCAAGAAAGAGCTGACGTTTTTGTTCATAAATCTTTGAAAAATGTGTTTCCTATGCTTTTTGAACTTTTTCGTTTGTTTTTCACGATTCCAATGAACTCGGCTTCATGTGAAAGGTCTTTTTCATGCTTGCGTCGATTGAAAACATACACCAGAAGTACAGTTGGACAGGATAGATTATCATCTTTGGCTCTTTTAGCCATCGAAAGGAATGTAAAAGTAAACATTTCTAAAGTTATTGATGATTTTGATTTAAACCGAAATAGAAGACTTCATTTTGTATGAAAATGAATATAAACATTGATTATTATTAAAAGTTTTTTTATATTTACTTAATTTCTCTCTTTTATAATTCAATGGGTTAAATAAGGTTTAGCTAGTAAGGTAAGTGATTAAAAAATATTGTTTTAAGGTAATTATGGCCTTCCATATATGGGAGTTAGTTTAACAAATGTTATTTTTGTAAAAAAAAAAAGGTCATTTAGGCTAATTAAATTTGCCACCCCAGATAAAATATTGAAATGACGCCTATGGCTCTCGCTGGACCGATTTTAATGAATACGTCAAAAGATCCCAAATCGTATCGAGTCGAAGACGTTACCTCCAAAATATTAGAAATTTAAATATTGCTCATTTTTGACATTTTTAAAAATTTTTTTACCTAAAATTGCAATAACATTTTTAAAAATGACCGAATTAATATAATTTATTTTTATATATATACCTTAGGTATTTATCTATCATTTTATATATTTTTGAGAACATTTGACCCTTTAACAGCCTACAGGAAGGGTTTAAAAATAGTAACATAACTATTGAAAATGTTCTGGAAAGACTGATACTTTTATATATATCTTAAATTAAAGCTTATGAAATATACTTTAATTTTAAAAAAATAAATTTGACCTCTAGTTTTGTCTTTGTAGTGAAAATGACTACCGTATTAAAAAATATGCTATTTTTGTGTTAAAATTTGGGGTTTTGTATTTTATTTTAATTTAAAATACCTGTCAAGGGGAGTACACTGATTTTTATAAATATTATATAAATAAAATTGATATAGCATAGNTACCTGTCAAGGGGAGTACACTGATTTTTATAAATATTATATAAATCAAATTGATATAGCATAGAAAATTAAACTTATTTTAATTTTTTTGCTTTTTTTAAATCGTGAAAATAGCTTTAAAATTTGAACTAGATTAAATTGTCATTTTTTTCAATCGACGGAAGCGACGTACGGTTGCCAAATCGGTAAAACTTGTCTTACGCGCTTGGGGTACAAGTTTCCAACCCGCGTATGGCAAGAAAATTCTTTGCATTTTTTTAAAAATTTTTTTTTAAGTTAGGATAAATTTTCAACTCGTTTAATTTTTATCTCATTTAGATTCAATAATTTCAATAAAGATCAAGGATCCTATTACTGTAGTCGCCTCTTGCGAGAAGAAATTTCTTTTTCATATTAAAATTATTTTACTATATTTTAGGTTTTAGCTTTGATGCAAAGCTGAGAAGGTATTTTTTTGTGACTATCATTTATTTTCTCTGCCCTAGCTTGACCTACATTTTCCATCAATACGTCAAATGATTACAATTAGTTGAAGATATTACCCTCAAAAATTGAAAAAAAAATTCTAATTTATCAGNATATAGGTTGAAGATATTACCCTCAAAAATTGAAAAAAAATTCTAATTTATCAATTAAACAGTTATTTATCCCATGTTCTCCATGCAAACAATTAAAATCATTCATTTCTAATGTTTTCAAAGTATTTATTGACGAATCAAGTTTAATATGAATATTTGACATGATAGGTTTCTACTACAAAATTAAATCATTTTACTTTGTAATTTAATAATTGTTTTACTCTATTTGTGTGTGCTACTACTATACTATAATATTCCAAATTTTTTGGTAACATGTTGCTATATAAATAATTTCTAAAAAAAATGTTTGTTAGTTTCTCTTGAATTAACAATGAATTCTTACAATTATAATCAAATTTTATAATACGCTATTGAGTAGATCTTTTTAACCTCTTTTTTTTG